CCAGTTACCACTAAAGACTACAGTTAAATAATGAGAAAATAATGTGATACTTCACAAAGATTTGTGCAAAACAAATTCAAACTTTTACCTGTCAAATGTAAAACTGTATTAAAAGCCCCGATTAAAAAATCCAGTTCTGGCAAGAGTGTGAGGAAAGGGCATTCTATTGGTAAAAATGTACAAGCCTGGTTTTCCTGGTTCTCTATAATCACCTGAGCCAATCCCTGAAATACGTAGGTGTGCATATGAATCTACGTCTTCCTGCTACTGTGCTGGCGCTTCGACTCACAGCCTTCGGTGCTAAGGCTGGCTGTCGAGGCGCAGAATCAAGGCTGAGTTTCTACACTTGCTCTGGGATTCCTGCAATTAGCTTTGTGATCTCCAGAGATCTGAAGACGCTATTATTCCCATTGCTGAAGAGAGAATACCTGTATCCATAGCATGAACTATTTTTAGAGAGATGCAAACTATCTGCTTTGAATACTCTTCACCACTTATAAACCCCCAGGATAGAACTGATGATATTTGTGAAGGCTTCAGTATTTCTAGAAAATTCAGGACTCTGATGACGTGGGTTGGCCTGCCCAATGGTACTGGACCAAGGAGCAAATAAAAGCAGGGGCCCAGGGATTGGGATTTCAAGATGGAGCACAGTAGAAGTGGCCTACGTGCCTCCAGGTATGCTCAGAGAAAGTCTCATTTTTCAGCAGGGTTAAAATTTCTGAAAATCAGAAGCAGAATTTCATCCTGGGGGTGGCTGAATTACAACGCAAAATGAACTCCCAGCGCCTAGGGTATATGTTGTTAAGGTGAGAGAATAGAATAGGAAGGAAATCCAGCTAAAATTGACTTTCTTTTGTTTTTATGTATTTGGTACAGAGTCTACAGGGTCTCACTACACAGATTGGACTCATAGTGATTCTCCTATTTACAGCCTCCCAAGTGCTGGGATTACAAGCGCCACCACACCCAGTCTCAATCCCTATCTCAGCACACCCAGGGTGCAGGGCCGCTGCCCTAAGCAGGTGCTTTAGTCCACTGAGCTAGCTGGCCAACCCTCGAGAGACTTTCTTTCTTCCTTAGCAAAATTCTAAGATTCCAGTGGTGTGAGGCCTGTTGATACCTTTCTTCTAAAATGAAGGCTTAAGCAGTGCATCTGTTCCCCTCTGTAACCAAGAAAGAGGCGCACTGACTAGTAGGCCTGGGTTTTAGGGACATCTTCCTCCTCCAGGTGTGTCCTCTGGCCCATTTACCAAGCGACCTGAAAAGAAGGCCCCACAGCAGAGCCAAGCCGCTGTGTAACAGGCCAGTATGAGTCCGCAGAGCCAGTCCTGCTCAGTGTCGGGAGCAGATAGGTAGGCAGCCTGTGCTACAACCTCACAGGTGACTCAGGGCACACGCCTTTGGGGTTTTGGAGGAATGCCTACCATGATCCAAAGATAACCACTTTTCTTTTGAGATAGCAGTTGGTCTGCCACTAGGCCTTAGTAGACCCTGATGTTTGTGATCCTGGTTGCCTACACAACATGCTGCCCATTATGAGCATGTTACTGACTCACCCAGCCACAAGGGTGAGCATTCATGACAACACTCTGATGTAAAATGGGAGTGATGTGTATGGGGTATTGCCCAGTAGACACTGAGGGCACGCGGAATGCACATGGAGTGGCCCAAGTGCTGATGGTCCCCGCTGCTCCTGTACTGCTTTCTTGCTCCTGCCTGTACCTGCGGTCTTACAGAGATTCTGTGTAGCCACTATTCAGGTGGCCTGGTTTATAAATTGTTCTGGACAGTACACCATCCCCACTGAGATATGGACAACTGCAGAGCCATCACCCCCCTCTGGAACACCCTTAAAAGCCAGCGATGAAGGGAAACCTTCCCAGTGGGAACACTTTGTGCAACACACTTTTCTTAAAAGAAAGCAGGTCCAGATGTATGAGTATACAGTCATCGCGGGTCCTAGCCAGTGGTTTGGCTGAATGTTAGTGACTTGGAAAAAATATGGTTAGAGCATGTGGATGAATATCTCTGAGTAGGAAAAAGAAGGGGGTGATATATTTGTATATAATGCTCATCCAGGGGTGGCCTCAGCCCATGGCTGGGATGGACGACCTGTTCTAGAGATATCCCATAGCCTCCTTCCCTAGCCTCACTGTCACTGCACAGTGGGCTCATCAAAGTGGCCATGGTGTCAGGGATGGAGGCTACACCTGGGCTGGGCAGTGCAGGCTTCTGGACAAGGCTGCCCTAGCTGTGGCTGCTGATGAGTGCCCAGTTTGCCAGCAGCAAAGACCAACATCGAGCCCCCATGTTGCACCACTACTTGGGGTGACCAGCCAGCTGCCTGGTGGCAAGTTCATTACATTGAGACCACTTCCATAATGGGAAGGGCACCATTTTGTCCTCAGAAGGATAAGTACTTTCTCTGGAACCAGATTAGCCTTCCATGCAATGTTTGTATCAAAACAACCACCCTTGGACTTAGAGCCTTCTTTCGGCTCAGCCAGCAGCCTACTCATTGTTCCGTGTGCCAGTCATCTCTAGAGACACCTCCACAGACACCCCCAAATTGTGCTTTGCGAATTTCTTGGTGGCTTTTCAGTCCAATCAACATTACCCATCAAGGAGCCTAAGTTTCTAAATAAGTTGGTGAGGTTTGAGGAAGAACTGTTGAGAGATTGGCACAGGGCTAGGACCAATAAGGTAAATGGTGCTGAATAAGAATTTAACTTATTCTGCAAATGAGCAGTTGTTTTGTGCTTCAGGGAGGAGATAGCGTGCACCTAAAGAAAGGGTTTCAACACAAACAGCACCTAAGTGAGCTCCTCTGCCTCTGTTTGCTAAACATTGGACCAAAGGGTGATTATTCGTGAACTTCCCAGAATGCCACTTCAAAGTCCTGTTTGTGGAAACTGTCTGAGAAGCTACGGAATATGGCCATCTCTTTTAAATGTGACTCTATGCCTGTAGTTTTAAAGACAAGTAGAACAGTAAATGACTACCCTGAGATCCAAGCTCTTCAGTGTGAATATTTGTTCACTTAAATACCCACTGGCGGTCCCACGTTCTTGTGACAGAAACTCAAGGGGTCATGGAAACCACCAGTCCAATCAGGAATCACTGCCCAGCCTTTCTGTTCAATCTGGATCTTCCTGAAGAGTTAACTGCATTCCCAGCAGGCTTAGCGAGTGTCGTGGGTCGACCGTTTTGTAGACCTCTCTGCTGTAGCTGCCCTCCTGCAGCCCCTTCACCTGCTTGAAGCAGCAGTTTTCGTGTGTTCTACAGGCTCAGTAACTGTTATTTATGGTATCTTTCTCTTTCTTTTTTTTTTGTACTGGGACTCGAACTCATGCCCTCGCACTCGCTGGGCAGGCACAGTGCTGCTCAGCTACACTGTACCCAGCCCTCAGGTGTCTTTCTTTATGGGGCATAAAAGCCAGTTAGAACTTCTAAGGCCAATTCAGTTCTTCTGATCACACCCTTTATCTTCATGCATATTTATTTCTTTCAAAGACACTAATGGATGAATTGAGCATTATTTCTACAATTAGAAAACATACCTTCCAAGTGCAGTGGCGGGGGTTCGATCCTCGGCGTGCCGTGCCATCCCCATCCCCGGGTCATGCTGAGACTGGGCGTGGTAGTGTGCACCTGTAATCCCAGCGCTGGGGAGGCTGAAAACAAGAGAATCACTATGAGTCTGACCTACATAGTGAGGCCCTGTAGACCCTGTCCTAAATACATTAAAAAAGAGAGAAAGAAAACATGCCTTCTTTTATAGATTTACTTAATATGATTCTACTATGAAAAGAATACTTGTGGCAAGATCTTAGTTTCATTTTTTTTTTATTCTTAACATATTTTAACCCTCCTTAGAAGCTTTTATATTTTGTAGACCATTTAAAAGACTGAACCAGATACTGCCTTTTAACAAATGAACATTGTCGCTTTATCTGGAAACAAAACAAGACAGAGCAGAAATCTACTCCTCCAGGCATCCCTGTTCCTATAGGTTGAGAGCAAAGGTTTAGCAGTGCCAGTTTCTACCTGTAGCATTCCAAGACCGTCATAGCCCCTCCCAGCAGAGAGAGGGTCCTAGTCTGTCCTGTGCCCCTCTCCAGATGGGAGTGATACTGCACACTTCTTCCAGATGTGTGTTCTGTGAATCAGTGACAAGACCAAGCGTGTGTGCTGTTAGCCCTTCCAGTGACAAGAGGAAAGAAGGAAGCACGAGTCAGGGCTTTTGAGTGGCTGCTTTCTAACTGCATCTGCTGCTGGCAGGAAGAGGCAGCATCTCCTTCTGCCTGATGCACAGGACCTGGCAGTGTGAGGGCATGGTGTGGTCTCCACCCGGGGCCCGCAGACAGCAGGTGCGGCAGCTCTGTGCCAAGCCATGGGCGAGCAGGTGGGAAGTGCAGTTTACCTGTGATGAGGAAGTGCCGGGCTACTTGGGTGAAGAAATGGGAAGGATGAGCGAAGCTGAGATGTTCAGTACTAGGCAGTGGAAGAAACTGGGGCAGCAAAAAGCAACCTGTTATTGTTCACACATTTCCTATTCTCATGCCCATTCTGAGTGTAGACAGCTGTGCGTCCCATGAGCCTTGGGTTACATAAATTGCAGGGTAGATAATCCAGATTTATCAGGACAGAAGATGTTATCTTCTGCACATGTAAAGAACAGCACCATAGTTTACTGAGACAGAGAGTTAATTGCAGATCTTAAGGGAGTAAAACCCATGTGGTTTGTCTTTCACCACCAAAGGAGATGCGGCCCACAGAGTGATGTGGCCCACTCAGAGGTGTTGGCGTCCACTCCTAAGCGTTCAGCGTCTTTTCTGCTCTTACTGCAATCTGTCCCGGATGTTGTTGATACTGGTAGAGGCGTCAGAGAAGGCCAAGGGAAATTGCATCCTATGCCCAAAGTATTGCACAATTTAAAGAACATAATGTACTTCTAACTGAGCGGTTTCGTGAGCTGCCGTGTCCTTTTCTTTCAGACTCTGAACTTGCCTTGATGTACAATGACTCCTCTGTCCTAGAGAACCATCACTTGGCTGTGGGCTTTAAATTGCTTCAGGAAGAAAATTGTGATATTTTCCAGAATTTGACCAAAAAGCAAAGACAATCTTTAAGGAAAATGGTCATTGACATTGTAAGTAACTAATGAAAACCAAAGGGCAAAAAATTACCTTGGTGTAAGGTGCTTTAAGAAAATGCAATCAAAAGAGTATCAAGTAAAAGGAAGGTTTGCATTTCCAGGCCTATTAATGCCCTTTCAGTTTTAGAATCTGCCCTGCAGAGCTGGTGACGTTTTATAATTAGTTTTCTACTTCTAGCAGTTTGGATTGAAGTATAATGATGCAAGTTTTACTGTGAGTTCCTCCTGACTGGTGGGAGGTAGAGAAAGATGAATAAGCAAAAAGCACAGCACATGAGCTGCAACTTGGATGAGTTTTTCCACCTTTTTTTTTTTTTATCCAATTAGATGTTCATGGCTCTTTTTTTTTCTTTTTTGCCTTTTTGAGACAGGATCTCACTATGTAGTTCAGGCTGGCCTTCTACTCACTTTGTAGCCCAGGCTGGCCTCCAGTAATCCCCCTGCCTCAGCCTCCTGAGTGCTGGGATTACAGGTGTGCACCACCATTCCCAGCTAAGTGTTTGTGACTTTAGAGGTAACAGATCCCATGACAAATCTCTGTTTATGAAGAAATTATCATCAAGTTTTGTACATAATGAATGCAGGAATTTTCTACCCAGCATAAGTAAAAATTTAAATTGAATGTGGTTTAAGTCATTTGTGGACAGCTCTGAATCAGCTTGTTAGAGTCCATTCACCACATTGTAGTCCCTAAAGAATGAATGAAATATCAGCCTCACCACCCAGGTATTGGCCCTTTTCTCACCATGAAAGGTGGTCAGGACCTGAAGTTGCTGCATGTCAAACATGCTTTTCTGGGCTTCCAGAAACCTCGGTGGGAAACACTGCCTCAGGAGGAGTAATTTCCATGCAGTCGTGGGAAATCATAGTAATTTCTTCCAATCCCCAGATTCTGCAAAAAGTATTTCCATGTTCAGATTCTGGCTTTTTCTTCTGGGCTTTACTTAATACAATATTATTTGTCTTTTAAGGTACTTGCAACAGATATGTCAAAACACATGAATCTACTAGCTGATTTGAAAACGATGGTTGAAACTAAGAAAGTGACGAGTTCTGGAGTTCTCCTTCTTGATAATTATTCTGATAGGATCCAGGTAAATTGCTAACTCATCCTGTACTGGTGTGTGTACGTGCGCTGGTCTAGGTGTTCAGCTTTAATCAGAGGTATTTGTCTTTTCTCCCATGTTAGTAAGTAGGCAGGATTTTTACCCACATTCTTATTCCTATGAATTGACAAGTTAAAATGCCGTTAGTCTTTTCATTTGCATATACATTTTTAAAAAGTTCCAGAAAACCAGCCACTTAAGTAGGCCTACATCTAATCAACCATGTAGGTAAACAGTTGCTCTTATGATACTGAGATGCAGTAGAAGTAGAATAATTTGAATCTATTAATACAAGTGTGAACCACACACAGACGCATCATGGCTAGCTACTTGGGATAAATCTTACACTACATGTATTTTTAAGTGTCCCAGTCCTCCGATGTGAATTTCTAGCTTAAAAAAAAAGAGCAGGTGCTGAACAGCAGACGCCTCCATCTGTTTCAGGTCCTTCAGAATATGGTGCACTGCGCAGATCTGAGCAACCCCACGAAGCCCCTGCAGCTGTACCGCCAGTGGACGGACCGCATCATGGAGGAGTTCTTCCGCCAGGGAGACCGCGAGCGGGAGCGTGGCATGGAGATCAGCCCCATGTGTGACAAGCACAATGCATCTGTGGAGAAATCCCAGGTAATCCACCACTCGGCCCGCACCGCTTCCAAAGAGAACAGGGCCGCAGCTAGGAGCAGGGAGCGTTTATCTGTGCAGCCTTCCCAGCTCACAGGGTTCGGTTGGCAAAATTGCTTCATTTCGATTCGGTCACTTTTGCCTTCATGCTTTGAGTCCACTCTGATGACTCAGAGTCTTACATGCCTATGTTGTCTCGATCGTCCTGACCATATTCGTAGGGTGTAGAGGACCATCTTGACTTCAGTATCCAGATTCTCCTGAGAACTAAATGTTGTAAAGTAAGGTCCAGGCTCTGTGCCCTACTGTGTAAATCCTTAAGCTGACCTTCCCCAGCTGGTAGCAGCCCTGATGTGTCTGTTGTCTCCAGTAGTATTTTATTCCACTAAGGTCAGTAGCTACCGGTTCAGTGTGCCACCCGTGGGCCGTGGCCTAGTTCCCCTTGCCCGTGCATCATTCCCATCACACTCTTCTCACAGGGTCTCACTACTAGACTGTACTAGAGTGAGCCACCTATGGACAGCCCCCCAAGAGCTGGGATTACAGGGGTGCACCTCCACGCCCAGTCTCACTGGAGATGTCAGCACGCCCTGGGGCCGGGGCCGGTAGGACAGGCCCTGGGATCAAACCCTGGTCCCTGAAGATTTAAATGATGAGATAAAAAACAGTCAGATGGAAGATTAAAACTATAGACTTCTTGATGTGATCAGAGTTGTTAACAGCTTAAAATAGCCTATTGTAACTATGTTTTAACTTTTTTTGGTACTTGGAATCAAACTCAGAACCTTGTGCTTGTGAGGCAGGTGTTATATAAATAGGCTTTATATAAGCTTCATGACACCATGAAGCAAAAAGTTATAAAGGCATACCTCAACATATACACTTCGTATATTTTATATTTTTTTAATAAATGGAAGAGTTGTGACAGCATGGTGTCAAGAGACTGAGACTCACTGGATTTCTTTTTACACTAGGTGGGCTTCATTGACTACATTGTCCATCCTCTCTGGGAGACGTGGGCAGACCTTGTACACCCTGATGCCCAGGACATTCTGGACACGCTGGAGGACAACCGGGAATGGTACCAAAGCACAATCCCTCAGAGCCCCTCTCCTGCGCCTGACGACCCGGAGGAGGGCCCGCAGGGCCAGACTGAGAAATTCCAGTTCGAACTAACTTTAGAGGAAGACGGGGAGTCAGACACCGAGAAGGACAGTGGAAGCCAAGTGGAGGAAGACACTAGCTGCAGTGACTCCAAGACCCTGTGCACCCAGGACTCAGAGTCCACTGAAATTCCCCTCGATGAGCAGGTCGAGGAGGAGGCCGTAGGGGGTGGGGAAAGCCAGCCCGAAGTCTGTGTCACAGACGAGTGCTCGCCAGACACGTAACAGTGCAAAGACTGTCACGCCTTTTTTTTTTTTTTTTTTTTTTTTTTTTAAAGTAGAAAACATTGTTTCCAAAGTGCATGTCACATGCCACAACCATGGTCACACCTCACTGTCATCTGCCAGGACGTTTGTTGAACAAAACTGACCTTGACTACTCAGTCTGGCGCTCAGGAATACCGTATCCAGACTCTTCACCTCCACGCCGTCGGAGCAAGGGGGCCGTCTTCACGAACAGCATTGTAATGTCACCTCAGCTTGCTCAAGCTGACGCAGCAGAGAAAATCAACTCCAAAATGTTTTCAAGGGGGCCTGACTCATCAGGCAGCCCAGATGTGGATTGGCATCAGAGGTTCTGGCAGCGTTTTCTGAAGAAAGCATTACGTGGAAGAGGTGGACTTCGTGGGTAAAGTAGCAGGCACGTCAGGAGCAGAATTCAGCCCGGATCTGTGCCCAGTGGAGAGGAGAGCCACAGAAATTGCATAATTTTCTAATTTCAAGTCTTCCTGATACATGACTGAACAGTGTAGTGCAGTGAGCTGCACGCACCTCTACATTTTGTATGATAATGTAAAAGATTTTTTGTAGAGCTTACTTTTATTAAATGTATTGAGGTATTATATTTAAAAAAAACTATGTTCAGAATTTCATCTGCCACTGGTTATTTTTTTCTAAGGAGTAACTTGCAAGTTTTCAGTGCAAATCTGTGCTACACTGGATAAATCTAATGTACGGATTTACTTGCACCTTATGGTTCATAGCAATTAACTGATTTGTAGTGGTCATTGTTTTATATACCAATAACTTCCATATTTTAAAACAGAACAACAACTTTATGTTGCTGGAAACCCTTTTTATAAGTCTTTATTTACTTTGCTTTTTTATTTCACCCTTCCCAACAAGCAGAACTGCTCTCCGCTGACATTTTTCTTCACAGTGTGCAGAGTGACTGTTTGTCCTGCAGTACATCAATGCGTGTTATGTCCAGTGTCTTAGGCCGCACGGAGCTATCAGCTGGTGTTACCTGAAGCAAGTGGAAGGTTGTACAAATACCCAGCAGCTCCAGCACTTGGTCCTTCTTAGGTATTTTCCTACCTAATTGTCTCCTGCTCAGTCTTACTATGTCTGCGGCATCCCACGAGTACACCTCCTCATAGGAACTCACACATTTCATGTTCATCTTTCACAGCCAGGTAGAATAGGGAACACGTGGTCCTCTTGTGCTATTTTATTTAGTGTGTGTTTGAATCTCTGTCCATGTTTGCTAAATGAAATTTTATGAGATATATCTCTGCCATCCTACTTGATGACAAGAAGCTGGTAGTGAAATTAGGGTTAGAACCTATTTCTACCCTGAGATTGTTTGTCATGACTAGCTTTTACTCTGAGGTTACAAACCAAAGTTAACAGAGAACCAGGCAGTGCTAAGAATATTCACAGAGTATATTAGCAAACACCAGTACAATATTGTTTTCCTGTTGTTTCGCCGTGGGGTAAGGAACAATATGAAGAATATCCCCAAGTGTAGCAGTATAGCAGCTACTCCTTCTTAATAGACAGCTGCGCAACCTGCAGGAATTGCTTTATCACTCTGGACCCAGGTCATGGTTTGAAGGAGGGAACTGTTTATTTAAACACCCAGAGGATTAGGGAGATAGCTCAGTACAATAAGTGCCTGCCTGGCAAGCGCAGGGCCCTGAGTTCAATCCCTGGGACCGCATAAAGTACAGCAGTTGATGTAAGCACTCTAACACCAGTAGGTTGGTAAAGTCTAAAATAGTAGATTAGTAAAAATATTCAGCCTAAATACCAAATTAGAAATCAGTGAAATATCCTAGCTGATTCTAGCACCAAGAACTGTATTGCAATTTTAGAGATTAATCACCAGTGTTTATCTGCCAACAGCAGTGAGTATCATGGGCTGTTAAATGTGAACTTTCTTTCCAAATCGATTCCTTAATAAAGGATTTGCCCTCTCTGAATAATTTGGAACCCATATAATTGCCTTTCCATTAATAGCTAAGAAGTGAGTTAGGGACAGAAAGGTTACTGACTGCATTGAAGAGGTAAAACATTGAAGAAGAATCACAACCCTGAACAAATCTGTACTTGGAACTTCTCAAGGAGCCCACTGGGTATGGGTAGCTAAGCCTTCAGTCAGGATCATGCCGGAAGCAGAAGGTAGTCCTAGCTTAACCTCCTCCAGTTCAAATGATGCTTAGCACCTTAGGTAGAAAAAGTTGCTTTCTGTTTTTTTACATAGGGCAGAATGGAAATTAACTAATTACTAGGGTGGGCTTCTACTCTTTTTTTTCCCCTTGTAGAAACCCAACAGTGTAAACTAAAAACCTTTGTTTCACGAAGTGAATTCCCAAGAACATTGTAGCTGTCCCTGAGGGAAACATAGAAGAAAAAAAGCAGCCTTGAGGGTTTATTCCTCTTTTTGAATTATTCTCACCCCTTCCTGGCCCTGCCTGTGGTATTGCCCCCACAGAGTGCCCAGAACTTTCATAACGAAGGCAGCACTATGTTGTGAGTGGACCTTGATGCGAAGGTGCAGTTTATAACTGCGCTCAGACAGACTTTTCTGGTTTGATGGGTTTGAATGTCACCATGCCATGAGGATATGCACTGATGGACAACCAAAGTAGAGAAGACACAGCATCCAAGAACTGGGGACTACTGCGCTGTCCTCTTTCCCCTCCCACTTCTCTCCTGTTCCCCTTCTGCCCTGCCTCTTGTTCTCTCTGGCCAAAATGTACGTCAGAAATGCACACTGCTTTAAGGAGACTAATATCCTTACCCAAGTGGCTCTCCATTTCCTACCATGCCATAAGAAATGCAATGTTGGGCCGGGGAGATGGCTCAGTGGAATAAGTGCTTCCCTGGCAAGCACAAAGGCCTGAGTTCAATCCCCGGTTCCGCCAAAAAAAAAAAAAAAATACAATGTCTGGGTACTGCCTGGGTACTGTCCAAGTTTGTATAATACCAGTACATTTCAGCTCGCAAGTTACGGAGCCCAGTAATGCTGTTTCAGATGTGTTTTCTTTTGCATCAATTAAAATTCACAAGAAAATAGTGTAGATAGAACAAATTGCAAACAAGGAAAGAAAAAAACTTGAATGAAATGGATTTTCCAGAAAGCTTTATAATTTTTGAATGCTTTATTTATTTTTTGTGCCATGCATTTTTTTCTCACCAAATGACCTTATCTGTACTACAGTCTTGTTTCTCTGTTTACAACCATGTATTTATTGTAATGTACATACTGTAATGTTAATTGTAAATTATCAGTTCTTATTAAAACATCATCTCATGATGGGATGGTGTTGACATATTTGGAAACTCTTGGTGAGAGAATGGATGGTGTGTATACATACTCCTTGTACATTTTTCTTTTCTCCTGTAATATAGTCTCGTCATCTTAGAGCTTGTTTATGAAAGTCAAGAAAACTATAAAATACATAAAGATATATAAATTTAAATAACATAGCTGCAGGTCTTTGGTCCCAGGGCTGTGCCTTAACTTTAACCAATATTTTCTTCTGTTTTGCTGCATTTCAAAATAAAGGTAGAGCTAGGGCTGGGCAGTATCTATCTAAGCTTTCAATTCATTACATTTCTGGCAACAGACGGATTTGACAAAACCGTAGACAACCTCTGGATGATTGGGTGACCCTTCCGAGATACGGACCTTTAGCCTTCTTCTTGCCATGAAGAAGCAGTACACATGGTAAGACTTACTAGCCAGCTGTTGTCAGGAGCTACTTCAGTGTCCAGGAGATTGCTTTTCATTTCAGCCACGCCTGGGAAAGGCTTTCTTGTCCACTGCGCATAGAAAGTCTGTTTTCTGGCTTTCATAGGAAAATGAACTTGAAGACGAAAACCTTGGTTTGAAATCAGAGCCATAGATCGCGTCTTGATTTGTTACCTGTGCCTCCAAGTCCTGTCAGGTTAGGGAATACTCGGTACAGAAAACGCCATTTTTTCAACCCTAGAATTTTCAACTAAAATTAAATTTCTTTTAAATACTAAGTTGTAGACGATGCCAATTCACATAGCGTAAAGATTTCATTATTCTCTAAAGTTTGTGCAAAATGCATACCTATTTAGAATTCTTTGCACAGTAGCTCCTGAAAGCTGTAATTTCTAGTGGACAGTGTGAAGACCCGCTGCTACTCTCTGCCCAGCCCTGGAGCATGTGACTTACCGGTGAAAGATTCTTTTTCTAGGAAAAATGAGCCTGTATTTTATTTTATTTTTTGACACAAACTGTAGATTTTAGCAGCCCTGGCCCAAAGGAATTTGATTACTTTTGTTTTAAATAGTACAAAGGGGACACTATAACGACAAAACACATCCTTACTGATTTTAGTTGTTTTTAAATTTTCTTGGGACATGTTTCAGAGTGGTAAATTGTGTGTGAGCATTACAAATGCTGATTCTTTTAGTGGTTTCTTAGCCTCTCTTACAGCCCATGGGGATAGTACTGTACATCAATCAATACCTTCATATGAATTTTTATATGCAATGAAAATAAAAGCATGGGTTGATTCTGCCTATTTATGACTTGGTCTTTTATAAATAAAAAAAGGTCTTGGTTTTAAATTGTAGTTTAATCTGCACACTTTTCTAGCTGTAGTGAAAATTGCTGGAAGGAGGTGAGTCATGTTGTAAGTCGCTTTGTACTTGGAACCAAGTGGAGCCAGATGATGTGAACTGACCTTGCTGTGCAGAAGGTTCCCCACAGTTCTGAATGTGGCCTGTAAGATAAAGGTGGTGTTTTCTAGATAGATGCGTGGGGGCCTCCCACACTCGGCTTTGCTACACCAGAATATGCAGTTACCGCTCGTGCGTTCCCCACAGGCGTTGGCCAGGTGCCAACTATGTGGACTACAAGAAGCTTCCCAGAGCTCAGCAGTGTGCAAAAACAATCTGCTGCAGGGAGTTTGTAGTGAGGAGGGGCAAACGCCTTGAGCTCTCCATCATGTACATCACCTGCTACGGTCAGTTCAGTGAAGGGGCTCAGCGTTGTGATTCAGAAGGACCCCAGCCATGACTTGCCCAGGCCAGGCATGGGCTTCCGGAGGAAGTGACCCAGGGCAGGGCTCTGAGGGACAGAAGTGATCATGCAAAGAGCGGTTGAGAGGCAAGAGGGGCACCGAGACAGGAGACGTCATCTGTAAAATTCTGAAGACCAAATGATCTTGAGGCTGCTAGAGGAATTGGGGGATGACAACAGGGACAGTCGACAGACATAGGGAGCTAGGGGTCTCTTCCTAACCCTCCTCTGAGAAGGGCACGCCTGTGCCATCCCCATGCCACATAGCGCCACTTACTCTATAGCACCACAAAGGGAGAGAAGCACCCGTCTGCCCCATCAGAGCACTCCTCCAGAAGAATGAAGTCTTCACATGCAAGTTTGTTTATAACACTTAAAACTATTCCCGGGACACAGTCATTAATGTGTGCTCAGTGTAGCCACCATGCTGGTGATGGGCATATAGTCATTCTGCACTATCCATACAGGGTTGTGTTCGGGATCCCTCACTACTGATAAATGCCAAGCATACTCAAGTTTACAAAATTCATTTTTTCAAATGCTGAGCTGTGTGAATATAACTTACTTGGCTTGATACAATTACATATTAAGCAAATAGTTTTTATACTGTAATGTTTAGAGAATAATAGCAAAAGGTATGCACCTGGTTGGTATAATGTTTTCTCTTAAATTACTTCCAGCCGTGGTTGGTCCAATCCACAGATATATATACCCTCAGAGATTGACTATAGTTTAATCTGATATTTCAGACATTTTGGGGTCTTGGAGTACATTCTAAACTTGATACCATGAAAAACATTCTGCTTTTTGTTTTTGAGCTGGATAAGTAGAATTTAGAGGGTTGGTTTTGTGTGTGTGTGTGTGTGTGTGTGTGTGTGTGTACCTTATCTCTAACAAAAAACTGCCTATTCGTCAATTATTTTAAAGAAAGCACAAATTTAATCCCTAGATGATGTTCAGACCCTAAACAGCAGAATAAGGCTAATTAAACAGAAAGAGCAACTTAGACTCTTCATTAGCTGTTTCTGCCCAAGGAAAGAACAAACACTACAGCAAAAAATGCCCAGACTGTGTCTTGCGGGAAATTTTTTTCTTTCTTTTTTTAAATGTATTTGGTTGTTGTAGGGTCTCACCACACAGCTCGCACTCATGGTGATCCTGCTGCTTTTAGCCTCCCCAGCCCTGAGATTACAGGTCTGCACCACCATGCCTGGACTCTGTGACTGGCTCAGCCCGTGCCCGGGGATTGAACCACAGTTCTTGCGCTTGCCTAAGCAGGCACTTTTTTCCACTGAGCTATCTCACTAGCCCCGCTGCAGGAAATTCTTGACCTCTACTCGCTCCCCGCCTCAAGGACCATGAACCCAAGTGAAATGATGGAGCCAGCACACAGGTTCCTCTGTCCCTGCATTCACTGTGTGTTGATTTACACTAAGTCAGTTGTGTTTGAGCTTATCTATGTTTAGCTCTGTCACTTGACACAATTTCCTCTGGCCCACATGGAAACATTCTCAACAAAGCATAGTCTTCCCCGCAGCTGAGGAACACCAACCCATGGCCGTGTCTCAGGGAGCTGTCCGCGTGCCTTTTCTGCTTTCTGATCCTGGTGCAGTTCCCCCCACCCCAGCTCCTCTCACAGCTACTGATGCCACTGATGGTCAAACTCAGTGCTGTACGTGTGAATCTGAGCCCGTGACTCTGGGTGTACAGTAGCTACTGCTTTATTGTCCTTAAGTCAATTTCTTTAGACTCCGGCTTTCACTCTTGGGATTTTCATCTCTGTTATTTCGGGCACACCGCCTCTCTGCATAGCACAGTCTTTTGATCACATCAAGCAGGCTGTGTTATCTCAGCTGCAGTGAGTCCAGGAAGTCACCCTGCCCCTCATTTCCTTGTCACATACGTGATTATCAAAGACAGGAGCTCAGGGTTCAATCCCTGGTCCCGCATGTCATGCTGGCCCTATCCCTACGGTGTGAACCTGCGACCCAGTCTGGGTGTGAGGGTGCATGCCTATAATCCCAGTGCTAGGGAGGCTGAAAGCAGGAGGATCACTATGAGTCCTGTTTAGTGAGACCTTGTACCAAATATATAAACAAAAACAAACAAACAAAAGACAAGTGTTCAGGCTGAAAATTCTGCTTTGAGAGGGTCTTACTTCCATAAACCCATCAGACTCCTTAAGAAGAGCCCATCCTTCCAGTGTCTTTTACTATCTTTGAGTATTTGTGCTGCCCCTCAAAAGTCCTATGTTGAAATTTGAACCCCTCACTGTTAAGAGGTAGGGCCTTGTTTCTTGTTTTGTTTCATTGCCTTTGTTTGAGACAGGGTCTCACTATGCAGGAAGTAGGGCCTTTTGCAAGGTGCTCAGCATATAAAGGCAAAGTATTCATGAATAGGATTAGTATCCTCATAGATGAGGGAGGACCAGGAGAGCTTGTTTGTGTCCCTTCTGTCTTTGGATGACATAGGTAGAAAGTCATCTATGAATCAGAAAGTGGAGCCCTTGTCAGATGTCAAACTTGATATTAGAAGTCCTAGCCTCCAGATCTGTGAGAAGCAAATTTGTTATCCATAAGTTGCCCAGTTCATGGTATTTTATCATAGCACCTGGGGTAGACAAAGACACACCTACTTAAATTAAAGGCTAGGGGTTCCCTAAGCAGTAGCTCACTAGCATACACATGGGCCCTAGTTTCTAACAATATTCTTTTTCCCTCCTATATTCATTCATTTGTTCTCATTCCCCCTCCAGCCCTTCCTTTCCTCCTTGATCTTCAACAGTAGGCTTAAAAAAAAATAACTAGTTATGACTTCTGTCTGCCTCTCTTTATTCTGCAAAATTCTAAGTTTTTACTTGAAACATGGAAAATAGATGCAGGAATAGTTCAACTAACCTTCCGCGTCTGTTGGGCGACTTGCAGCCCCAGCGGCTGCCCTTCCTTGCTTTGAGGGAAGAGCAGCTACAAACACTGAGCTCAGATGGCAGTTACCTGGCTCTTCTGTTTGCTTCCTGGGTGAGGATGGAGTGAAGCGCTGAAGTCTCTATCACACTTTTCTCCCTGATCATCCCCTTCTAGATTTCACCATTTTAATTGCAATATTTCTTTCTTTTCTGTTTTTCATTCATGTATTTGGTACAGGGTCTCACTACACAGCTTGGACTCAGAGTGATCCTCCTGTTTTCAGCCTCCCAAGCACTGGGATTACAGGCATGCATCACCAAGTCCAGACTTGGTTGCTGTCTCAGCATGCCTATCTCAGGGGGCGGGGCCAGTGGAGCATGCCAGACAGGGGATCGAACCCTGCTCCCTGTGCTTGCCAAAGCAGGGGCTTAGTCCGCTGAGCTATCTCACTGGGCCTCAATTAGAATATTTGACACTTGAAAATTTTATGCTTTAAAACTCTCATTTGACCCTCACTATGTTCTCCCATTTCCCTGTCCCAATATCTTTGTATAGTCCCCAATTGACATCATGATTGACCCTATTTTGTAGTAATGAAATATTAAGTCTAGGAAGATCAAATGACCTAGCTGAGGTATTCACAAGCTAAATTCCTAGACTGATTCTTTACCAATTGCAGGTTTGCCATAATTCCTATCACCAGCTATGTATCCCATTTGTATTGCACACTAACAAAGAATAAACCTGCGGAAATGCCGCTGAAGTCCTTTGACCATTCATTGCCAAGTAAACCAGCATGACACAATAGTTCGCATTCTCACGTTTAGTTAGCTTGTCCAGCCTACCCGTGCATAGCCTGGTTGTTGACAGGATTCTTCCCAGTGGGAAGACTTGGCATGAAAGCATAAAGACAAAAAGAATCAAGCTAACGTGAAAGTGAAGACAGGAGATAGGCGTATCCCTGTGCTGGGTGGGAAGGTCACACAATGCAGAAAGGCAGAAAGAAAGATTTCACTGGGGCTCCTTGCACTACTGACTGGATGACGCATGGAAAGAGGTCACCACCGCCCAGCCTAGGATGGAGTTCCCTTTGCCTTTGCAACTCCTCAGCAGGGCATTTGCTGGATACTTAGAAATCCTGACCCACCAGAAATGGCTTCAGGATCTGAGCTTGTAAATGTGTTCTCTAAAAAGCTTTACCTTATGAGAATGGCTTTGTTAGTTCTTATTTTGAGCCAATTAGGCAAATAAAGGACATAGTGGCCCACACTCTTGCTCAGGTCTTAGGCCACGGTAGAGACCACTTTTACCAGCAAGCTGAGGTCCCTGGAGAATCAGTCTTTCACCTCGGGGCTTCTTAGTACTTTGCTCATTTTCTGCCTAGGAGCAGTTTCTGTCTCTCACTATTCTACAGCATGTAGGTAGACAGAAACAGACATCTAGGCCCCTTCATCTCTGCTGCAGGGTGCCAGATGAAGAAGTTGCAATGTCCCCCTCACCCCAGCAGAAGGCAAGGTCAAGGGGTGAGGAAGGAGCCCAGAAATCATTGCTGCAGTCCCATAGCAATGTGTCCACCACCGGAGATGACTCGGGA